CTACACAACATCCATCACTACACAACCATCCCCCTCAAGGAAGGTTCCTTGATGTTGGTGAGGGGCTCTTGATTTAGGGAATTGGATCTGTGTTCCAGTTCCCCGAATTAAGCCTGAATGCCTTCCACATCCCCCCCCAGGCGCTGTATAATCCTCCGGGTTTAGCGCTTCCCCCTTGATTATAATATATAATAATATACCCAACCATCACTACACGACCATCACTGACAACATCCATCATTTCACAACATCCACCAACTACACAACATCTATCACTAAGCTGGCACTGGACAAGCACCTAAAGTCAGTTCCTGATCAGCCGGGCTGTGGCTCGTACGTTGGTTTGCGTGCAGCCAGCAGCAACAGCCTGGTTGATCAGGCGCTGATCCACCAGGAGGCCTGGTCACAGACCGGGCCGCGGGGGCGTTGACCCCCGAAACTCTCTCCAGGTAAACTCCAGGTAAACACTCCAGGTAAACTCCAGGTAAACACAAAAGAAAGCAAAAGACTTGGCAGACGATGCACCATCCCCCCAATGAAAAGCAGGGGTGTCACTAGCACGTTAAGAGACCATACAATAAGTGTCAGGGGCCCGAGACTGTTCAACTGCCTCCCAGCACACATAAGGGGGATTACCAACAGACCCCTGGCAGTCTTCAAGCTGGCACTGGACAAGCACCTAAAGTCAGTTCCTGATCAGCCGGGCTGTGGCTCGTACGTTGGTTTGCGTGCAGCCAGCAGCAACAGCCTGGTTGATCAGGCGCTGATCCACCAGGACGCCTGGTCACAGACCGGGCCGCGGGGGCGTTGACCCCCGAAACTCTCTCCAGGTAAACACAACATCCATCACTACACAACATCCATCAACTACACAACATCCATCAACTTCACAACATCCATCACTACTCAACACAAGGGTTACCACACTGCCGTGTTCTTGTAACACCAGGATTACCACACTGCCGTGTTCTTGTAACACCAGGATTACCACACTGCCGTGTTCTTGTAACACCAGGATTATCACACTGCCGTGTTCTTGTAACACCAGGATTACCACACTGCCGTGTTCTTGTAACACCAGGGTTACCACACTGCCGTGTTCTTGTAACACCAGGATTACCACACTGCCGTGTTCTTGTAACACCAAAATTACCACACTGCCGTTTTTCTTGTAACACCAGGATTATCACACTGCCGTGTTCTTGTAACACCAGGATTACCACACTGCCGTGTTCTTGTAACACCAGGATTACCACACTGCCGTGTTCTTGTAAACCGGGGTTCCCAAACACTGCCGTGTTCTTGTAACACCGGGATTACCACACTGCCGTGTTCTTGTAACACCAGGATTACCAAATTTGCGGTTCTTGAAACACCAGGATTACCACACTCCGTGTTCTTGTAACACCAGGATTCCCACACTGCCGTGTTCTTGTAACACCAGGTTACCACACTGCCGTGTTCTTGTAAAAACCAGGATTACCACACTGCCGTTTCTTGTAACACCAGATTACCACACGCCGTGTTCTTGTAACACCAGATTACCACACTGCCGTGTTTTTGTAACACCAGGATTACCACACTGCCGTGTTTTGTAACACCGGGGTTACCACACTGCCGTGTTCTTGTAACACCAGGATTACCACACTGCCGTGTTCTTGTAACACCAGGATTACCACACTGGCCGTTTTTCTTGTAACACCAGGTTACCACACTGCCGTGTTCTTGAAACACCAGATTACCACACTGCTGTGTTTTTGAACACCAGTTTAAACCACACTGCCGTTTCTTGTAACACCAGGATTACCACACTGTCGTGTTCTTGTAACACCAGGATTACCACACTGCCGTGTTCTTGTAACACCAGGGTTACCACACTGCTGTGTTCTTGTAACACCAGGATTACCACACTGCCTTGTTCTTGTAACACCAGGATTACCACACTGCCGTGTTCTTGTAACACCAGGGTTACCACACTGCCGTGTTCTTGTAACACCAGGATTACCACACTGCCGTGTTCTTGTAACACCAGGATTACCACACTTCCGTGTTCTTGTAACACCAGGGTTACCACACTGCTGTTTTTCTTGTAACACCAGGTTACCACACTCCCGGTTCTTGTAACACCAGGGTTACCACACTGCCGTGTTCTTGTAACACCAGATTACCACACTGCCGTGTTCTTGTAACACCAGGGTTACCACACTGCCGTGTTCTTGTAACACCAGGGTTACCACACTGCCGTGTTCTTGTAACACCAGGATTACCACACTGCCGTGTTTCTTGTAACACCAGGGTTACCACACTGCCGTGTTCTTGTAACACCAGGGTTACCACATTGCCGTGTTCTTGTAACACCAGGATTACCACACTGCCGTGTTCTTGTAACACCAGGATTACCACACTGCCATGTTCTTGTAACACCAGGATTACCACACTGCCGTGTTCTTGTAACACGAGGGTTACCACACTGCCGTGTTCTTGTAACACCAGGATTACCACACTGCCGTGTTCTTGTAACACCAGGATTACCAGGGGCCAGAAGCTCGGACTCGACCCCCGCAACCTCAACTAGGTGAGTACTGCCGTGTTCTTGTAACACCAGGGTTACCACACTGCCGTGTTCTTGTAACACCAGGATTACCACACTGCCGTGTTCTTGTAACACCAGGATTACCACACTGCCGTGTTCTTGTAACACCAGGATTATCACACTGCCGTGTTCTTGTAACACCAGGATTACCACACTGCCGTGTTCTTGTAACACCAGGATTACCACACTGCCGTGTTCTTGTAACACCAGGATTACCACACTGCCGTGTTCTTGTAACACCAGGATTACCACACTGCCGTGTTCTTGTAACACCAGGATTACCACACTGCCGTGTTCTTGTAACACCAGGATTACTACACTAATTTTTCCAGTGTTCTTGAGGGTACACAGTTGTTATTGCCACAGCCATAATGCTTATGCTGATTTAAATTTGTATGGAAGTCTAGCTCTGCCCTTGTTTAATCTTGGGGAACACTTGACCAAGTTGGGAACATTTTGTTCTTAGGGAAATTCTCATCCAAGGAAAGTAAACTAGCCTGACGGTACTATAATACAGAATGATATTAGAATTAATAATTGGGTTTCCACCTTAGAAACTGAACTGTTTGTTATACATGTTGTTTTCAATGTTTGTGGAAACTACGACCACACACAATTGTATTGTACCTGACTCTTTTCTCATTACTTGCTTTAAATAACCTGAGACCTGAGACCTGAGACCAGTAGTGTGCAGAGGGGGGGGGGGCGAAGGGGCGGTGGCCCCGGGCATCCAAATGTGGAAAGACATCTAATTAAAGAGGAAAATAAGATAATGATTTTCAAGGACTTAGTGACCGATTTTCATTTCTTCCGAACTTGAATTCAGTAGTAATTGAAGATGAACAAGAAAGAGAGAAATTAAGAAAGGAATGTTCAGACTTTGCAAATTATTATAATAATAATGTGGAAGCCAATATGACGAAATTATTGATTTTGTGATGCTCCTTCGAGCTGAAGGGAATATAATTCCCCCTGATGGTAAAGATGCTGTGGAGTCTTTACTGTGGTATGGAAGGGATGTCTCTCCCACGCTGTGTTTCATACACATTACTGCTTACAATCGTATTTTCGGTCGCAAGTTGTGAAAGGTCATTTTCAAAACAGAAATTAATAAAAACATATCTGAGGTCTTGAATGTCACAGGAGCGACTGACCAACCTGGCTTTAATGAACATTGAAAAGTCACTCTGTCTGACTTTCTGGATTATCCTAAGTTCTCTACACATATGCTGCTGTGTATGATAATATATGTAACTGTATTTGTGTATACCTGAATAAACTTACTTATTCCACCGCTCTCTCTGGGACGCTTGTCCTCATCTACTCTGCCCGCCGAGCACATTACAAGACGGGCATCTATCATCAACTTACTTTTAGCTCATTTTTCTGCTCTGCGGATAATTTTTTAACAGTTTTGGTAGGAAACCGGTTACTAAACTACTACTACTACTACTACTACTACTACTACTACTAATAATAATAATAATAATAATAATAACAATAATAATAATAATAATAATAATAATAATAATAATAATAATAATAATAATAATAATAATAATAATAATAATAATGGTGGCTAAACCTCCCGCTTCACACACGGAGGGCCCGGGTTCGATTCCCGGCGGGTGGAAGCATTTCGACACGTTTCCTTACACCTGTTGTCCTGTTCACCTAGCAGCAAATAGGTACCTGGGTATTAGTCGACTGGTGTGGGTCGCATCCTGGGGGACAAGATTAAGGACCCCAATGGAAATAAGTTAGACAGTCCTCGATGACGCACTGACTTTCTTGGGTTATCCTGGGTGGCTAACCCTCCGGGGTTAAAAATCCGAACGAAATCTTATCTTATCTTATTATACTGATAGGGAACATAGACAACCGGTGTAAAGAAACACGTCTAATGTTTCTACCTTCGCCGGGAATCTAACCCGGATCCTCGCCGTGTGAAGCGAGAGCTTTAGCCACCAGACTACGGGGAACCTCAAGGTGAGGGTATGGACGTCTTTCTCACTACTGGGGCTTGGCAAGGGAGTCCATCTGATCTAATTGGGAACTTCTAGTTTCTGTTTCTATTGCAAAGGAACTCTTGTTCCTTTTTCTTTCATGGCTCGGCTTTGGACATCAAATCTTCCCCGCATTAGGATTACTCTGCCCGAAATGCTCAGGCATGCTAGTGGCTTTCTTTGTGCTTAACAACATTTTATAAAATGTAAATCACACACATTGTAACCTTAGCAAGGAAATAAAAAAATGTATTTGTACATCAGGAAGCCGGGTTCGATACTGCGTAAGCTGCCAGTGGCCCTTATAAACCCAACAAACAACCAATACGCCATGAGTCGTCTCGTCCTATAAACCCACTAAACAAAGGCTACAAAAAATTGGGGACCGTTATTTTTTTTTTTGCTGGAATGTACGTTATATATATATATATATAAGAAATACCTGTAGTGCGGAATGTCTTGTGGTATGTGAACACTAATACACTTCAGTTCCCGCGTTAATTAGAAAGGTTTAATAAAGGATCCTGACGGAAGTAATTCGAAGTTTCTTTTGTTAAAGTTTGTTAATTTTCACATTAAATTATTTTATAATACAGCTGCTGTATGAACCGTATGGGTTTAGCGTTTAGTTTTGATTATAATATAAGGCAGATGTAAATATGTGAGCTTGTTTATTGTACCTGAATAAGCTGTATAGCCCTTGTGGCTTAGCGCTTCTTTTTGATTATAATAATAATAATAATCTGTACCTGAATAAACATTTATTTGCTGTTTAGGTTTTCTGTGGCTGTGCTTAAAGTAATATTAATATATGGCTAACTGTTGAAGGCTCTTGATCCGAGGAATTAGAGCAGCCTTCCCTCCCTTCCCCACATCAAGCCAAATTTCACCCCATTCCCCACATCCTGTATGACCTCATGAATATAATTATATGTGGTCAGTAGCGATGAATGACTTCCATTATAAAGTAGTAGTATCTTTTATTAATGTGATAATTGTATGAATTTTATACATTGCTAATTATAGTATCACATGTTAGCAGTAACACAGCCTTACCTAACTAACCTATCTTTTTCAAATCAATATTATTAACTTTAAACTAAACTCAGAGGCAAAAGCCCTGTATTCTTGTTTATTATTTAGATTGATGGATATTTCTGATAATAAAGAAATGTTTTTCTTTGTCTATTCTGATAATAAACTGTTTTAAAATGTCAAATATTAATTGGATTGTGCAAAGAGATACATAGTGTTTTGTTGTGCAAATGGGAAAAAATGAAAGATAAACCAGCATAACTTAAAATAACCTAACGCTATCTAACCTAACAAAACCTGGTGTAGCCGTATCGGTAGATATGTAAATGTCATATATTACGTTTGTTGTGACATCTCAGCGCACCCAGTGATTGATGTCTACTCAACCAGCACTCTGGGTTGGCTCTTCCCTGCTGCATTCTATCTAGAATAAAGGTATTATTATTTTTGTTAATACAGTATTTCCTAATGAAATATAATTGGTGTGGATAGCTCATATGTGTTGGAAAATATCAAATAATAATGAGTTCTGCATAGCAGCAACATTCAATTACAGTCATAATTTTTTCCTATATTTTTTGTTCTTATGTACATTTTGCATATAGCATGGTTTCTCTTAACTGCATGAGTTATACATAGTAGTAATTATAAATAAATATGGTAATTATAAATAAATATGTCTAGTTTCACACATGACTTCTTATGGAAATAAATGAAATCTTATATCACTGCTAAGAGATGCAATGTAATACACTCCATCATGGTTATTTATTTGTTAGAAGGCAATGCAGGAATCCATAACATTAGTATCAAATTTACATGACAGGAGAACAAATGAAGGCCATGTAAAATTAGTAAGTTTAGTGTAGGTTATTATTTAGATAAGTCATACATTATATGAAGGTGGCTGATTATAGTGCATTAAGGAATTAGAATTTCGTCTTGAATAATTACAAAGTGCATGTAATGACTGTGTGTGTGTATACATACAGACATTCATTATAATATTTTACCTTCTAACATAATTTTTAGATGTTTTGTTTGTTTTATTTACAATAATGATTTTCAGAAAATATGGAGGAAAACAAAGATGACCAAGATGGTTTACCAGAAATCTATCTCAGCCTATCCCATGGTCCTAAGGGCGAAAGAGACAGCACTCGTGCTTCTAGTGACACTGACCAGAATGCTGGGAATGACACAGATAGTGATGTGTGGACTGCTTTATTGCCTGAGGTGACAACTACTGGATACTTTGAGTTGAGTCAAGAAATTAGCATGGCACAGCAGGAGCAATATTCCTTTTCTCTTGGTGTGAGAGAGGAGATTGAAGGGGTGTCTTCTCAGGATTCTTCAGCAGCAGGAAATATTTTAGCAAATAGAACTCCAGTTTTGTATGGAGGCATATTAAATGCAAATCAGTCAGAGAGAAATGAAGATGCAAGTTGTAGTATATCCCAGCCTGGTGAAACTGAAGGAAAAAATATTGTTGCTCATAGAAGAGAAGTTGTTGAAGGGTCAGGTCAAAGGGGCGAGACACCTGGCTCAGACTGCCCTCCTGTGGCAGGGGTTGGAGCATTTTCAAGGGTATTCATGCAACCATTGAAGTTGGACACAAACTTTAATGCTACTTCAAACAATGAATTAATTTTTTCACCAGGTGGAGATGAAGGGATTATGTTGCCAGGTGGAGTTCATGCATATTATGACAGTGGCTCTGATACCGAGCCTTTGGAGTGGGGTACTGGTGGAGAGGATGAATCTGAAGCCCTTAGTCAAGTGCGTGATGCTGTGGAAGGTGCAGATAGTGGTACACCATCAATTCAAGCCTCTCTCGGCAATATATCACCAAATGAATTGGAGGACATGGAACGTAATTCTCCAGCTGGGTTAAGTACACCAGATACTGATCTTGATCTGAATGTTGCAGCAACAAATAATTTAGAAAACCAAAAATTAAAGAACAGTGTTAGGCCTCCAGTAGTGGGACAAAGTGAGGAGCTGTTGGTTCAGACTCTGCGTAAAGACTTAGGATCAACTGATGGTGAAGAATCAGAAGATGAAAGTCAGAAGAGATTACCGTTAAAATCTGCCAAAGATGCATTTTCAACTCCAGATTTTCAACCAGGATCCCTTGGTAGCCAATCAGAAAATACTGATAGTGTAAACACTGTATTAGATATGAGTCGGGGTGAAATTCAAGGATGTGAAACAGATGAGACATTAGACACTCCATTGCTGTCACCTTCAATAGTGACAGAGTCTTTAGCACAGTCATGCCCCAAGCCAACATTTGTGGTAGGTGGTCTTATCAGTCCCCGGGTAAAGTTCCGACAATTTCAAAACACCGTCAGAGATAGAATGCAAGATATGAAAGCTTCCCTTGAGCTGCAGCCAGGAATAGACTCACAAGTTCATGTTGACAGGGATCAATTTCTCAGTCAGCCACCACTTTATCCACCAAATACATCCATTAGTGAGCAAGAAATATCCTTGACATCAATGATATCTGTGGATTCGACCAACCATCCAGATTCCTCAGAACGTGTAACTTCACCTTCAGCCTTATCAGTTTCTAGTGCAGCATCAAGCAGGAAAATGGAGTGGGACTCTGGTGCTGATGTTGGTTATTCAGGAAACCTGACTGGAAATACACAGGAACATTTGGTAACTTCCTTGAGCACCCTTGAGAGAATAGCTATTGGAAATTATGCATCTGTGTTGCGAACAGAACCTGAGGGAACTACTCAGGTTAAGGAAAAGCAAAAGGCCTCAAAAAAAAGTGCAAAGTCCAATAGCACAAAGTTAGGAAATAACTCAAATGTGAGTCGACAGGTTCTTGTGGAAGGAGTCACTTTATCTCCCTCTCGTTCGCTTCGGCTTCAACAGACCCGAGACAAAATAAATTTATCTTCAAGTGATGAGGACTTTGACAGCAAGTTATCAAGCCCTGCACAAAGCCCAAGGCGGAGGTTACGAAGACGGTCACTAATTACCATTAGCAAAGACATGGAGTCACCGTCGAGGAAGATGAATAAAGGCCAACAAGGGCCTAATAGAAGGCTGGTGGAAGTTACCCAAGAGCTCCATAATGAAGGAAAATCAAGCAGTCTTGTAGAACTTGCTTCAACATCTGTGAAGGTTCCTGAGTATAAAAGAAGCAGTAGTCAACAATCTCTTTCCCTTCAAGGTAGGCCTGAAAGTAATACTAATGTAAAATCAAACATGAGTGCTGCAGAAGGCAGTGTGTCTTCAGTAACTACTGCAGTTTACCAGAATAACAAGTTAGAGCCATTTCTAGGAGCTTCAAGTATTGTTAATATCACCACAAGCACCGGCTCCATAATTCAGAATGTTTTGCCTATCCCCCAGGTAGGTGTTTCTACAAGCACACAGCAGTATGCCAAAGAAAAGAAAGATGATTTTAAATCTGTAAATGAGGATACTAAGAGTAGTCCTCAGTCTTCCTTGCAGTCAACTGAGAGTCAAACGAACATACATGGACGAACTGGGACATCAAGCGGTAATGATTTCAGCTCAAAATCTCATGACAGCTCTGATATGGAAACACCTTCAGACATGAAAGATACTGATGCCAACAGCTACACCTCTTACCAGTTATCTGATGTTGAACTTGTTAATTTAAAGGCCAAAAAAAATAGTGAAAATGCAAAAAGTCACGAAAATATTGCTAAGAAATGTAGATCTAGAGTGAAAAGTACTGACCATAATAATTGGAAAGACAGTAATGACAGTAATAGTTGGTCAAGTTCTTTACAGGTGGAAGGACAGAGAGGCTCACCACAAGATTCTGAGTCTGTTTTGGAGAGTCAGGTATCTCTACAGTCATCAAATAATTATCTACATGCTCTTTCTGTCAAGCTTAAAGAACGGATTCATGTGCTTCTCGATAATGGGTCCCTAAAGAAGGTGCAAGACTATAATAAATTACAGGATTACATTCAGTTTATTGGAGTACCATCAACCAATGAGGAGGAATGCCGGTTAAAGCAAGGTGTAGCAAATGTCATTGTGAGAATGTTCGGTGAAATTGGGCTGGACGACACTGATACATCAAACACATTTACTAATGAAGCATCTGAGATTCTGACAACTGATTCTCAGACTAGTGACCAGAGGCCTCACACTACAAGTGAACACACATCTGTCGGCCATGAAGATACAGATGTTCCTTCTTCCCATGGTAAATACTGTTCTTGTTTTTCTTTTTAATATACAGTGGTTACAGTACAGTAGATCATTGATTATCTAGATAATGCTTATTCAGCTTCCAGTATTACCTGGTGGTAATATTCAATCCAGTCTCTGAATGAATAAAGTAAAAAAAATTATGCACAAAACAAAGGAAGATTAAAAAATGCCGAAAATATGTTGCTTCCCCCTTCCCTGAAGGAGTTGAATAAAATTAATTGATGATATACTTCAGGGGTCTCCAAACTTTTCACAGTGAGGACCACATCATATACATGTATTTTACACATTTTTACAGACTACAGAAAACGTCAATCATAAGTAAATATGTAAATGAATGAATAAGTTTTATTTGGATCCTTTTTGTAATCAGCATAATATGATTCAGAACAAAAGGGAAATGTGACAGTTACAAAGAAATAATACCGTGCTTATGCTGATAAATAATATATAATGAGTTAAAATGTCAAACTTAAGCCAGTGCTCTGAATGAACTGCAGATGAGAAAAGCTGACACAAGATTAATTTGCACAAGATTAATGGGAATCATGGAACTGGTTTTTTAATTTCAAAATATTGCTAAACTGAGGTTTCAAGCTTGAGAAGCCAATTATTAGAATGGACATCAAATGCTCATCAGATAAATTTGTGCAATATTTAGACTTGATGTATTTCATTTTTGAAAATGTTTGTTCACAAAGGTACGTTGAAGAAGTACGATGTACATAAGCACTATGAGACCAAACACATACCAAGTTATTCCCAATTCACAGAACACAGTGTTTGGAAAAATTTTAATTTATGCAATGCAGGTCACTTTCCCAACAAAGTTTTCTTATGCAGAAGACAGCTGATAATGAAGCTTTAACCAGGGCCAGTTACAAAGTAACTTATGTGTTAGCTAAAAGAGGAAAGCCATTCACCGATGGAGATCTGATTAAAGAGTGTATGATGGAAGCAATTCATAAATGTTTGTTCACAAAGGTACGTTGTACCTTTGTAAACAAACATTTATGAATTGATACAAATCCACAAGTATTTTCAAACTGATACTAATCCACAAGCAAATCACTTCAAATTTGGAAACTGTTTAGGCTTTAAAGATTTATAAAACTGGATCAGATTTCCTTCTTTATACTTTCCTTTCAGTATGTCATCTAATTGGGAGTGTTTCAACACTGCAGTCAAATGGATTTTGAAACAGCTTTATTTCATCTGTTTTTCCATCAAGATCAGAAAATTATTTCTGAAATTGTTTCTAAAAGTCATTAATGATTTCTGTTGCAAATTAAGAAGAAAATTCTGCTTTACTTCATGAAATTTGTCTGCATGAAATTTGTCTGTAATTTGATGAAATATATTGCTTTCTATATCCTCAGTTCTACGAGCAACAGTATATGGTGCAAGACTGAGGATTTTGAACAGACTTGCTTTTTCCAGGTATAACTCTCCCACTGCTTCCATCATACACTCTTTGATCAGATCTCCATCGGTGAATGACTTTCCTCTTTTAGCTAACATATAAGTTACTTTGTAACTGGCCCTGGTTAAAGCTTCATTATCAGCTGTCTTCTGCATAAGAAAACTTTGTTGGGAAGGTGACCTGCATTGCATTGATTAAAATTTTTCCAAACACCGTGTTCTGTGAATTGGGAAAAACTTGGTATGTGTTTGGTCTCATAGTGCTGTTGTACATTGTACTTCTTCAAAACTGCAACAGTTTCCTGACATACAACACACAAGGCTTTATCACCTGCTTGTACAAAGAAGTACTTTATGCCCCATTCTTCATTAACCAACGACACTCACTCTGCACTGTTCTTTTCCTTTTTCTTTCCATAACTGAAGGATATACAGTGGACCCTCGACTAACGCTATTAATCCGTTCCTGAGAGCTCATCGTTAGTCAAAATAATCGTTAGTCAAGTTAATTTTCCCCATAAGAAATAATGGAAATCAAATTAATCCGTGCAAGACACCCAAAAGTATTGAAAAAAAAAATTTTAACACATGAAATATTAATTTTAATACACACAAACTGAAGAAGACATGCACAGTTACATGACACTTATCTTTATTGAAGATCTGGTGATGATTAATGGGATGGGAAGAGGGGAGTGTGTTGATGGTCTTAGTGTTTAGAAGGGGAATCCCCTTCCATTAGGACTTGAGGTGGCAAGTCCTTTTTCGGGGTTACTTCCCTTCTTTTAATGCCACTAGGACCAGCTTGAGAGTCACTGGACCTCTGTCGCACAACATATTTGCCCATAGAGGCCTGTACCTCCTGTTCCTTTATGACATTCCTAAAGTGTTTCACAACATTGTCAGTGTCACCATTAAACACTTGTTCAGGTTTCAGTCCTTCACTGTCTATGTACTCCTTGAATTCCTGCACATATTTTTCAGCTGCTTTTTGGTCCAAACTGGCAGCCTCACCATGCCTTATCACACTATGTATGCCACTACGATTCTTAAATCTCTCAAACCAACCTTTGCTGGCCTTAAATTCACTCACATCACCACTAGTTGCTGGCATTTTTCTAATTAAATCGTCATGCAACTTCCTAGCGTTTTCACATATGATCGCTTGAGAGATGCTATCTCCTGCTATCTGTTTTTCGTTTATCCATACCAATAACAGTCTCTCAACATCTTCTATCACTTGCGATCTCAGTTTCGAAAACATAGTTGCACCTTTGGCAAGAACAGCTTCCTTGATTGCCGTTTTTTTGGCCACAATAGTAGCGTTGGTTGATTGGGGTTTTGTGTACAGCCTGGCCAGCTCGGAGACATGCACTCCACTTTCATACTTAGCAATGATCTCTTTCTTCATATCCATAGTAATTCTCACCCTTTTTGCTGTAGGGTTGGCACTAGAAGCTTTCTTGGGGCCCATGGTGACTTATTTTGCAGGTGCAATCACTAAAAAGGCTGTGATAATATGAAATGTTCCGATTGTATGCTTGGAAGCGACAGCGGTGGCTGGCTGGCTTGTAAACACTGGCCAGAAGTGGACGCATCTCAGACGGAACAAATAGTGTTGGTCGAGTTTTTTAGCGCTAATCGAGGCAAAATTTTTGCGATAAAATGTATTGCTAGTCAGATTTATCATTAATCGATGCCATCGCTGGTCAAGGGTCCACTGTGTCTAAAAGATGAAAAGATTAAAAGTAAAATTTGAACAAATTTTGACATATAAATTGTTACAAGCAACAAAGTAAGTGACTGAAAATGAGGGTTTATTAGTTTTACTATTTACAAATATTTCAAGTTGCTGCAGGCCACATAAAATCTTGTGGCGGGCCGCAGTTTGGAGACCCCTGATCTACTGCATGACTGTACAGTGTATACGAAAATACTGTACAATAAGTTTATCCGTGTTTCAGTTCTGGCTGCTGGCCCTGGCAGTGGTTCTGTGAGATGCAGTATTTTCACAAACATTGGCAGAACTCCTGACAGGAGGGCAGAGCGTGTGATTAAAATCTTATTTTGTAATTGCAAAGGTTTTCACTGCCAGCTTGTTTTTTGTTTTTTTGGCAACCTATGAGTTACTACATTTTTTTATATTATAATGCATTTTCTATGTGTGGCTTTCATATCTGACTCTCGAATATTATTGAATACAGCATAATATAAATCTTGTACATATTCCATACTATAGTACAATAGATTATATAGTATGTACTGTACTTTCATTTACCTAATTTTTATTTTAAATTTTTGCAAACTTGGTTATGTCACTATATTTGCCTGTTTTATACTTCAGTTTTTTGTTTAGTTTATGCTGCTCTGCTGGGCGCTGTATAATCCTACGGGTTTAGCGCTTCCCCCTTGATTATAATAATAATAATATGCTGCTCTGCTCTGCCCAAGTGAGGGTCATTAATCATTTCCATACTGTATTTAGTACATTTGTAGGCTTTATGAACATTGGTCAGTTAATATATAAGTTATTCTGTATATGAATGTTGTGTATATTGTATAATACTAGCTTTCATGAGTGGGCTGCCAGTCACTCAAAAAACCTGGAAAAGTTTTTATGGGAAGGCAGTTATAGATCTTAGACACCTCTTCTCTCATCATGTACCGTGTTATGTATTATTATTATTATTATTATTATTATTATTATTATTATTATTATTAATTATTAATTATTATTATTATTATTATTATTATTATTATTATTATTAATTATTATTATTATTATTATTATTTATTATTATTATTATATTAATTATTAATTATTATTATTATTATTTTATTATTATTATATTATTATTATTATTATTATTGTTTAAGTTACTCTAATTTTAAAATTCTTGAAGGGATGTTGGAAGCAGAAGATTTCCATCAGTGTGGCATTACAGCAGATAATGAGATGCCAGTAACCACTAGATCAGAACTCTGTGTTAACACAGGCAGCACAGTCACCATTGTGCCATACCGTCCTCTCTCAGCCACCCGCACCTACTTCATGGCCGTCTCACATGGTATGAATCTAATTTATACCATTCAAAGGTTGTGCCTTGATGCTGGCGAAGGGCCTTTATTTCAAGGCATTTGATCTACTCTCTCAAATCTGTTTACATCCCATTACCCAAATGCTATATGACACCTATGGGTTATATTAAATTAATGTAACATTAATAATCTCCTGCTTAGATTAATATTTTTTATTAAACAATATCAGAATGATTAAATCAGTGATCTGGATATATAAAATAAAATGCATTGTAAATGTATTAATTTTAATTACTGGTACAGAGCGTGATGAAGGACTGGTGGAGGGTGAACAGCACATTCACACACCTGAGAGAGGTTCTCCAGCAGTGTTAACTCCTAACTCAGACCTTGAAGTGTCCCGTGGCCAGGCTGAGGGGCAGCTGCAACATGAAGAGCTCTCAGTATCACTTCCCTCTGCTCATCAAGTTGTTCCATGTCAGAATAATGACACCATTGTTGATTGCAACTCTGAAGGCACAGTATCACAATATATGACATTAGACAGTATTAACCCTTAACCCTTAAACAGTCCAAAGAGATTGACGTTCAAATTCGTATTGCTACAAAAGTAGCTCTACTTTTTTTTACATATTTTCAAATATAACAAAAAAAAATGTAGATAAAAGTTTTTTACACGTTTTCAAATGTAAAACAAAAAAGAAGATCTACATTTCTTTACATACTTTCAGATGTTGAAAAAACGTATATATACGTTTGGACCATTTAAGGGTTAAACTGTCCAAGCAGATCTACGTTCACATGCATAGTGCTCCAAAAGTAGATCTACGTTGTTTTTACATATTTTCAAATATAGAAAAAAAAAGTAGATCAAAGTTTTTTACACGTTTTCAAATGTAAAAAAAAAAAAAAAAAGAAAATCTACGTTTTTTACATACTTTCAAATGTTGAAAAAACGTAGATCTACGTTTGGACAGTTTAAGGGTTAAATATTTTTGTTCAAGATTTGACATTTGAATTACTAAATGTTAAATTTTAACTCCTTAGCAGAATTAGAATTTATTTAATAAAAAAAATTAAAATATTATATATTTACTGTTTTAAACAATATTAAATCTTGAATTACTGCATTGAAAATTGTCATTCCGTATTTAATTTTAAATTTTGAAGACTAAAGTAATTTAAGTAATTCAAGAATACATCTACAGATTTTTTTTTTTTTTTTTTCAACAAGTCGGTCGTCTCCCACCGAGGCAGGGTGACCCAAAAAAGAAAGAAAATCCCCAAAAAGAAAATACTTTCATCATCATTCAACACTTTCACCACACTCACACATTATCACTGCTTTTGCAGAGGTGCTCAGAATACAACAGTTTAGAAGCATATACGTATAAAGATACACAACATATCCCTCCAAACTGCCAATATCCCAAACCCCTCCTTTAAAGTGCAGGCATTGTACTTCCCATTTCCAGGACTCAAGTCCGACTATATGAAAATAACCGGTTTCCCTGAATCCCTTCACTAAATATTACCCTGCTCACACTCCAACAGATCGTCAGGTCCCAAGTATCATTCGTCTCCATTCACTCCTATCTAACACACTCATGCACGCTTGCTGGAAGTCCAAGCCCCTCGCCCTTTTCCTGTAAAGATTACTAAAAAGAATAAGAAGAATCTACAGATATTATTACATAATTTCAGTTGTGTTATGTACTGGTAAAGGAAGAGGGTTCAACAGTGATGGAAGACTAAATAGCATGAGTGTGCATGAGTAATCATGAGTGTGATTCAGAGGGTAATTGAATTAGCATATACTCACCTGTTTGTGGTTGCAGAGGTTAAGTCTCAGCATGGAAAGGGTACGAGTGGACAGCTGTATTTTAATAAAGTATTATATTTAAAAAAAGTGATACAGTGTAATGAAACAGGAAACTGGGCAAGCTTACATTCCTTGATTGTCCTAATGTAATCAAACTGTATTTGTCTTTATTTTTATTTCAATTGGATTTTTGAAATTTATTGAGATAAACCAAAATTATTAACTTTTTTTTCAATCTTTAGAACCTGTGAGTCTAGCAGTGGTGAATGACCCATCTGTCAAGACAAGTGGTATGTCCAAGAACCAGACAGAGGAGCCAGGATCAGCCTCAGGTGCAGCAACCTTGCCTCATGACTGGGGTTTTGATCTCCGAGCAGGGAAAATTCAAGGAACTTCCTCCAGAGGTGTCACCTCTGATGAATGTTCTCCTCGTCACACTGGACATCGCTTAGCTTGGGATCGGCGGTCAAGCTGGCATGAGGAAGACCAGGGTCAAGGATGTAGGGACTCTGTCAATTGGTGGTCTTCCACAACACGATCAGAGCGGTTATATAAAGATAAACGAGGTACCCTTCATGTGGCTAAGCAGCCTCCTGGATACATGGATGACCATGACAGTCATCCCAGCGAGTCTACTTCAGACCATGACCATCACCACCCTGAAAACAATGATACAGAATCTCAGGAAGATACAAGGAGAGGTCCAGTACGGCCTTGGACCAGCTCAGGATCAGAGAGTGCATATGAAACAATTAGGGAACGGCACCGACATGTGGATGAGGCATTGGCATCAAGCTTTGAGTTTTACTCCACTTCTCCCCGCGATGCTCGGCTGCTAGGATACGTCTCTAGTGATGCAGGAGAACAGGTAATATGTTTGTTTCATTCCATACATAATTTATCATGTCATGAACTGTATTATCTTGTATTTAGTGTCCCCACCAAGATAAGAAACATATACTGTAGCAGTTCACCGAATTCTTTATTCTTTCTTTTTGTTGTTTAAAATTACCTTAAAATTAAAGGGTAGGGTAGGGAATGTGTAAACCAATTGTTTATATTGATAATCTTCTTTCAGCAAACCACCCGTATCCCACCAAGGCAAGGTGGCCCAAAAAGAAAAACAAAAGTTTCTCTTTTTAACATTAGTAATGTATACAGGATAAGGGGTTACTAGCTCCTTGCTCCTAGCATGTTAGTTGCCTGTTATGACATACATAGCTTACGGAGGAAGAATTCTGTTACACTTCCCCATGAAGATAAGAGGAAATAAACAAGAACAAGAATTAGTAAGGAAATATAAGAAAACCCAGAAGAGCATGTATATATATATATATATACTTGTAAATGCATGTGTAGTGTGACCTAAGTGTAAGTAGAAGTAGCAAGACATACCTGAAATCTTGCATGCTTTTTTTTTTTTTAACACGTCGGCCATTTCCCACCAAGGCAGGGTGACCCAAAAGAAAGAAAAACTCAAAAAGAAAGAAAAAACTTTCATTATCAGTCAACACTTTCACCATCACTCCAACACTTTCACCATCACTCATACATAATCACTGTCTGTGCAGAGGCTCCCAGATATGACAGTTTACATAGTCACTTCAAATTGCCAATGCTTATGAGACAGAAAAAAGACACCAGCAATCCTACCATCTTGTAAAACAATTACAGGATATGGGTAAGAAACTGTTATGACTTGATAGGGATACCAGTTAGCTGAACTTGAGTCCTGCAATCTGAAGGAGAGGTGAGGATGTTACAGTTCAGAGGATCATTTGAATTATGATGTCTGTGCATTTCTGGCAAAACAGCTATTGAATGAATGATGGTTGAATGTGCTTCCTTTTTTCTGGATCACCCTGCCTTGGTGGGAGACGGTCGGTATGGTAAAAAAAAAAAAAAGTAACACTTCTCTCCCATCCACTCCCTCTTTCCTCCCTACCCACTGACTATATGATTGTTTAAATATCTACTTTTGCACAACAACACCAGAGAAACTGTGTATAGTATTACTGGGGAGGGATGGGCTGACTGTAGAAAAACATTCCTTTCGTATGCCTTTACTGATAGTGTCATTCGCTCTAGAAAGGGTGTGTTGCATGAGAATGGAAGTGTTGCTGTTATTTATTCTACTGCACCAATGTGAAGACAACTTATATACTATGTAAGGTGTTTATATTGTGGGAAAAACACTTATCAGTCACATGCATCATGCCAGATGAATACATAACAACCAGTGGACACGAAATATGTATCCATCTAACTGCCCCATCCAAAACACTGATACCATATGCACGTTGATAGAACACCCTCCCCACGATGTTTTTATAATAAATAATAATAATAATAACAATCCCTAGGTAGTAGGTTGGTAGACAGCAACCGCCCAGGGAGGTACTGCCATCCTGCCAAGTGAGTGTAAAACGAAAGCCTGTAATTGTTTCACATGATGGTAGGATTGCTGGTGTTTTTTGTCTGTTCAAAAACATGCAAGATTTCAGGTATGTCTTGCTACTTCTACTTACACTTAGGTCACACTACACATAAATGTACAAGCATATATATACACACCCCTCTGGGTTTTCTTCTATTTTCTTTCTAGTTCTTATTCTTGTTTATTTCCTCTTATCTCCATGGGGAAGTGGAATAGAATTCTTCCTCCGTAAGCCATGCGTGTTGCAAGAGGCGACTAAAATGCCAAGAGCAAGGGGCTAGTAACCTCTTCTCCTGTATATATTGCTAAATGTAAAAGGAGAAACTTTCGTTTTTTACTTTTGGGCCACCCTGCGTTGGTGGGATACAGCTGGTGTGTTGAAAAGAATAATAATAATAACAATCCCTAGGTAGTAGGTTGGTAGACAGCAACCGCCCAGGGAGGTACTACCATCCTGCCAAGTGAGTGTAAAACAAAAGCCTGTAATTGTTTTACATGATGGTAGGATTGCTGGTGTTTTTTGTCTGTCTCATAAACATGCAAGATTTCAGGTATGTCTTGCTACTTCTACTTACACTTAGGTCACACTACACATAAATGTATAAGCATATATATACGTACACACCCCTCTGGGTTTTCTTCTATTTTCTTTCTAGTTCTTGTTCTTGTTTATTTCCTCTTATCTCCATGGGGAAGTGGAACAGAATTCTTCCTCCGTAAGCTATGCATGTTGTAAGAGGCGACTAAAATGCCGGGAGCAAGGGGCTAGTAACCCCTTCTCATTTATATATTACTAAATTTAAAACGAGAAACTTTTGTTTTTCTTTTTGGGCCACCCCACCTCAGTGGGATATGGCTGGTGCGTTGAAAGAAGAATAATAACAATCTTTATTTCTACAAATGAAACTGGGTGTTGCCATGAGCTCTGCATCTCTCTTGATTCTGTCTGAAAACTTTCCAAATTTTCAATAGTTTTAAAGTTATTATATTGTAAGGCTCTTACTTTCACTGAACTCTTAAGGAGAAAGTGTTGCAAGAAATTACAAGTGCTATACCAGTGAACACTAAAGTTATAAGAAAACACAATAACCTTATTGCTAACATGAAAAAACTTTTACTGGTGTGGACTGAAGAACAAACTAGTCATAATGTGCCTTTGAGCTGAGCCATTATCCAGTCCAAGGTGCTAAGCCTCTTCAATTCTATGAAGGCTGAGAGAGGTGAGGAAGCCGCTGAAGATAAATTTGAAGCTAGCAGAGGCTGGTTTCATCTCCTCGTGATTTCCTACAATAAATACTGAGACGACTGTTTAATAGGCCCCTGGCTGTCTTCAAGAAGGCATTGGACAGGCACCTAAAGTCAGTACCTGACAAGCCAGGCTGTGGTTCGTATGTCAGGTTGCATGTGGCCAACAGTAACAGCCTGGTTGACCAGGCCCTGATCCACCATAAGGCCTGGTCACAGACCAGGCCATGGGGGTGTTGACCCCCGAAACCCTGTCCAGGTATACTCCAGGTAACTTCTCACCCTACATTAAGGCCAAAAATAATTTAAGGTAAGTAATGAGTGTTCTGTATATGCATTTTACTTTTTTTTATTGTTTTTTTAGGCTTAGTTCTATGGCTAACTTAATATATGAGTGTAAACATGTTATCAGGCATTTAGTATATCCATTTAAAAGTGACAAAAAAAAAAAGGGCGATTCACTTTATGGCAGTAACCTGGAACCTAACCCATTGTATAAGTGGGGGCCCTCCCATAGTGCATAAGTTATAATAAAAAATTGGCAATATAAATAGGGTTTATAGATTTATATGCTTTCCATGTCATTCTACTTTGATCCATTCTCTCTAAATGACCAAACCACCTCAACAACCCCTCTTCTGCCCTCTGACTAATACTCTTATTAACTCCACACCTTTTCCTAATTTCCACACTCCGAATTTTCTGCATAATAATGTGTGGTGTAAATATTATGCAGAAAATTCGGAGTGTGGAAATTAGGAAAAGGTGTGGAGTTAATAAGAGTATTAGTCAGAGGGCAGAAGAGGGGTTCTTGAGGTGGTTTGGTCATTTAGAGAGAATGGATCAAAGTAGAATGACATGGAAAGCATATAAATCTATAGGGGAAGGAAGGCAGGGTAGGGGTTGTCCTCAAAAGGGTTGGAGAGAGTGGGTAAAGGAGGTTTTGTGGGCAAGGGGCTTGGACTTCCAGCAAGCGTGCGTGAGCGTGTTAGATAGGAGTGAATGGAGACGAATGGTACTTGGGACCTGACGATCTGTTGGAGTGTGAGCAGGGTAATATTTAGTGAAGGGATTCAGGGAAACCGGTTATTTTCATATAGTCAGACTTGAGTCCTGGAAATGGGAAGTACAATGCCTGCACTTTAAAGGAGGGGTTTGGGATATTGGCAGTTTGGAGGGATATGGTATGCATCTTTATACGTATATGCTTCTAAACTGTTGTATTCTGAGCACCTCTGCAAAAACAGTGATAAATGTGTGAGTGTGGTGAAAGTGTTGAATGATGATGAAAATATTTTCTTTTTGGGGATTTTCTTTCTTTTTTTGGGTCACCCTGCCTCGGTGGGAGACGGCCGACTTGTTGAAAAAAAAAAAAAATACAAAGTTTGGAAGTACTGACAATTTTAAAATGAAAATGTTTATTTCCAGTAAATGCAGTATACAGTTATTATAAGTATAAGTGACTTGTTATAAATATTTAATGAAAACCTTGGTTATGGCCCCCAGACATTTGCCAGCCACAGGTTGTGTCCATTTAAATTCAGAATTCATTAATTCGTTAAATCAGGGTTTGTTAGGTTGAGGATTTATTGTACTCTGATATAAAAAAGGATGTTCAAAATTAACATAGTTGTATACATGTTTAGGGTCAAGAGTATGAGGATCACTTGCAAAGAGAACCATCCCCAGAGCTTCCACCACCACCAACCCCACCTCTTAGTGAAGGTTCCCAAGAGTCTCCTCAACCACCAAGCCCACCTTTGAGTGAGCAACCAGTTAGCAGTAGATCAGCTCGCACCAAGAGACATGCCTCACGCTGGCAACAGCAGCAGCTGACAGATAGGCAGAACTCTTCCCCCTCCAGTCATACAGGTAATCCTTTTGCAATTAGTTAACTTGTGGTAAAAATATTGAACAACTCTGTGACATGGGTGGTGAGAAGGTAGATCCTTCAATAAACAGGTGCTATTCACAAAAAAATATGTGAAATTATTTTATGTACCAGTTAAATTATTACCTGAAGTACAAATTATACCAAATAAATAGATGTATATTTCATTAAACAGATGGAAATGACGTCAGCAGCCAAGTTTCCTTCATCCATTTGCAGAAACAACGATATGTCCGAAAAATACAACGTCACATTCTCACCCTTGAAAAACTAGAGAGGTGTGTTTCACATGGCTGTCTTCCTACCATTGCTACTTTATTTCTGTCGCATATTCACTGCATTCTTATTTTGTATATTTCAGGTATTCTTAAATTTAGTGTAATATTGAATTGTATGAGTTTTATTATATTAATATTATTCACTTATACATGTTTATTTAGTTTCTTAGGTATTCTGCTTTCTCTAAATACTATTAGTATTTTGGTTTTTATCTCAGTTTTCCAAGTTGTATTCATAAGGAACTTAAACTTTTGTGAAAAACAAAGAGTGAATGTGTAGAATGTACTTTAGTGTTTTATCTTGGTTGATATTGCCACCATACTAATGGTATTTATTTATTTATTTTATTTATTTAATGTCTTTGCAAACAGTACATTGAGATTGTGTATATACAATAGTGGGTTGCAATGCAAAGAGAGCCTCTATTATGCCTTGGCATTATGGGCCAACTTAATATTATTGGCTTACATTCTACTTAATACTAAGAAGTAGTATATCATAGTTATAACAGAATGGTAAGAATTGTAAATCATTTCCAGAGCTCTGCTTGAGCAGTTAGGAGACAGCATAGGATCAAGCAGCAGCTTCAGGAGACATGTTACTGAAGGACACTCCCGCACAGAGTCAGACACAAATGCAAAGTCTCAGATACGAGATATTTTGGGCCAGTCGGGTGAGTAATACTTGGAATAAGAAAGGTATCCCTCTTATCCATTGGAAAAAATAATTGTATTGTGCAGTACTTAATGAAAGACTAAACCCATGGGTTATTCAGCAGAAGGAGTGGTAAAGGATAATAGGTGAAAAATACAGAGAAATCTCATCTAAAGTGTGAATGAAGGGTGATTTTTTTTTTAACTTGTCAGCCGTCTCCCACTGAGGCAGGGCGACCCAGAAATGAAACAAACACTTTCGCAATCATTCACACATAATCACTGTCTTTGCAGAGGCACCCAGGTATGACAGTTCAGATATCACTCCAAACAGCCAATATCCCAAACCCCTCTTTTAAAGTGCAGGCATTGTACTTCCTACCTCCAGGACTCAAGTTTGGCTAACATGTTTCCCTGAATGCCTTCACAAAATATTACCCTGCTCCCACTCCAACAACTCATCAAGCCCCAAAAAGCATTCATCTCCAGTCACTCCTATCTAAAACACTCACACATGCCTTCTGTATGTCCAAGCCCCTTGCACCCCATTCCCTCCATCCTTTTCTAGGATGACCCCTACCCCTCCTCCCCTCCATTACAGATTTATACACCCTCCAAGTCAACCTATTTTGCTCCACCCTCTCTCAATGATCAAACTACCTCAACAACCACTCATCTTAATTTCCACACTACGAATTCTCTGCATAATATTTACACCACAGGTTGCCCTTAGACACAACATCTCCACTGCCTCTGACCTCCTCCTCGCTGCAGCATTTACAACCCATGCTTCACATCCATATAAGTGTTGGTACCACTATATTCTCATACATTCCCTTCTTTGCCTCCATAGATAACATTCTTTATCTCATATACCTCAGTGCACCACCCACCCTTTTTCCTTCATCAGTTCTGTGGTTTACCACGTCCTTCATAAACCCATCCGCTAACAAGTCTACTCCCAAATATCTGAACATATATTGAAGACCTCTATCTTAATTGTGCAATTATGATTTTTTACTGTAACTAGGGAATGTTGAATCATACCCTCTTTATAAAGAATTTTGGTAACTGAGTTTGTATTAGAGCTCTGAGTAATCAAATAACAAGCATACAGTTTAGTTATCAAATAATAGTGTTAATTTTGTAATACATTATTATGTACTATAATTAACAAGTAATTAAATTACATTTCTTGCAGGAACAACTGCTAGCAGCATCATATCAAGTGACTTCAGTGATGGGGCAGTGCAGAAAGAACCATACCAACCCTGTCCGAGAGAAAGAGTTTCCAAGAATGACTTGATAGGAGTTAAGCCAGTGAGTCAAGAGAGTCCTTCTCATTCTGCTGAGAGGAGTGAGAGCACTAAATCAGTAACAGGGCACTCAACATTTGAGAGATCACACACATCTTCAAGAATGACATTCAGTCAATTAAGTTCAGATTTGACTAGCTCCCGAGCCTCAACAATGAAGTATATAGAGGAGGAGGTCAAAAAATTGGTATTAACTGAAGAGAGATCACGACAAATGATGAAAAATTCAAGATTACATTCACAGAAAACAAGAAGAGAAGATTTGGATTTCCAGGGTGCCATCAGAAAAATGCGTCGTAAGGAGCCCAGAGGAGAAGATGACCCAGTGCATTCTCAGCTTTCAAACAAAAGGAGGACTTCCGATGATATTTTAGATTACAAGTTATATGTGAAGAATAGAATATTAAAAGAATGTGTCATGTTAGATAGCAAGGTAACAGCTGGTAGCAAAGACTCCAGTAGACAGTTCACTCAACCTTGTGTAATATCAGAGGAAGAATTTACTGACAGAGCAATCTCTGATAGTCAGATATCAAGACAAGGTGATGGGCGTGAAGCAAGAGATCAAAATCAGGGAATTAGAGTTTCACCCGTGATATATAAGGAAGATGCAACAAATTCCACCCTGCTTTCTTCACCAGTAAGAGAGAGAAATTCACAAAGTCAAAATGAGCATTTAAGAAAAAAGCTGTTAAGAGATTTTGGTCAGATGTTTCCAAGTAGAGAGAATGTGCTGTTGAGTGAGTGTGAAAATAGATCTGAAAATGTCATTGGGCACAGTGTTGGAGTACAGACTAGTGATTCACTGTTATACCTGAGTAGAAGCTCAAGACAATCAAAAGGAAGCAGCTCTTCACGACCTAGCTCTGGCACCACCTCTGATAAAAGTGAGAGCTTGAACAATGCTTCATCTAGAGGTAAGAGAATGTCTTCAAAATCTGGATCAGGAAAGGATCAAAATGAAAAATGCTTCAGTGATGAAAAACAAGTATTAGAGAGTGTGTCACAAAGAGTTAATAAAGTGAAGGCTGATGAGCAAGCAAGCAGCAACCAAGACCAGTTTTGGGTAATGGTGAGAGAAGGTGCTCAAGAAATGATAGAGCTATAATATCAGATAATTATCAGTTTGACAGGAATGATCATGATCGTAGCTCTTCCAGATTAGACAGGGGAAAAAAGGGAAAACCTTGTATCAATATGGAAAATGATGAAAATGTATTAGTCTATGAACCATTGACTGCAAGGGAAGAAACTGCAAGAGATGGAACACTCATGGAGAATGCAAAGATGAGTACCATCTAGAGCAGGGACTGCAAGAAAAGGAGCATCCTCATCTAGAGTAGAGTCTGCAAGGGATAAAACACCTTCATCTAGAGCAGGAACTTCAAGGGATGAAATATCTACGTCTAGAGCAGGGACCGCAAGGGATGGATCATCTTCATCTAGAGCAGAGACTGCAAGGGATAGACCATCCTCATCTAGAACAGGGACTGCAAGGGATAGAGCATCCTCGTCTAAAACAGGGACTGCAAGGGATAGAGCATCCTCATCTAAAACAGGGACTGCAAGGGATAGAGCATCCTCATCTAAAACAGGGACTGCAAGGGATAGAGCATCCTCATCTAAAACAGGGACTGCAAGGGATAGAGCATCCTCATCTAAAACAGGGACTGCAAGGGATAAAGCATCCTCATCTAGAACAGGGACTGCAAGGGATGGAGCATCATCTAGAGCAGGGACTGAAAGCAATGAAATGCCAGCTAGAGCAAGGAGTGCAAGAGATGAAAATCAATATATAAAGGAACATAAAACTGTGGTATTATCCAAGCCAGACTCTGAGAATGATTATAACAAAGGGCACAGAACTAGACCCATGTTAAGTGCTGGGAGAAAGAGATCTGAAAATAGATATATCAGTGAAGACAGGACTATGGTATCTGTGGCAAAATCTGCAAACAGGAGAGAGGGCAATAATGAAGACACTGAAATAGAATCATCCACACTGGGATCACAAAATGAACACAGGAATTTTGGTGAACATTTGTCAGGATCAGGGTGTGCAAGAAGTGAAGATCACCTCTCAAGTGATAGTAAATCATCATCCAGGGTCGAGTCTCCAGTCGTAGAAAATGAGCTTGACATTGGCTACAGTTGTCAAAATGTATCTGTAATAGTCTCTGAGAATGAGTATCAGCATGTTAGTCAAAATGATAATGAAGGTAATAAGCAAAACTTTCAAGAACAGACAGAACCTCTTTCCTCAAGACCTCAAGCACATAGAGAGGACAACAGGCTTGGTGACAATCTAGAAGACCTAGAGGCATCTGTACAAGAGCAAACTGAAGAGAGGATGAGCAATTTTGTAAATTCAGACTGCAGCAGAGCATCAGTGCTTGTAATATCTCCCACCCCTGATGAAGAAATGGGAGGCCAGATACAAGTCATCACCAAATCTTTTGTTGGAAACTTTATGAAATTTTCTAGGAATAACAACTCAACTGAACCACCAGTAGCTACATCGTCAGCTTTAAGTGAGGATTCAGATACCCTCAGAAATTTAAAAAATCTAAAATTGTATACTGGAATACATGATAATCAAAGACCATTAAATGTTAGAAATTGTATTGATGACATGAGATCTGAAATACAGATGCTGAAACAAAAGAGTAAAGCAGTAATAGGATCACAGTGCAATGAAAAATCAAAAGGCAGGCCAATAGTTATAAATATCAGATGCAAAAGTCCTGTTAAATTTGATGTACCTTTTGATAACTTCTTCCAAATGCAGCCAAACAGGAAGAAAAATTTTGCAACCACTGCAAGGCTAAAAACATGTGATAAGCAAAAAGAAAATCTAACTCTTCAGGTAAGTTTTATAATATTTCTACTTAGGCTTTCATTTAAATGTCATGCAACAAGATTTGCAGAAAAATTCACTCTTATCTTACCAACATTTTGTTCATTTAACGTCTGATTTAAAGGCAAAATTTTTCTAAACTGTCGTATCTGAGCGCCTCTGCAAAGACAGTGATTTTGTACGAGTGATGGTAAAAGTGTTGAATGATGATGAACGTTCTTTCTCTCTTTTTGGGTCACCCTGCCTCAGTGGGAAAAGGCCGATGTGTTAAAAAAAAATTCTCATTGATAAATACAGTTTACAGCATTTATTGGCTTTCTAACAAAACGTTTGCTCTAATTTGCTTCACCACTGATCTAATACTGGATCAATCTCTAGATTTCAAGGTGCATTGACTTTGTTAGACTATGCCTGTACTGTTATATTAGGAGTATTTTTATTTAGCAGACTGGCTATCTCATGCCAAGGTAGGGCGACCCAAACAAAGGAAACACATTCAGTCATTCACTGGCTGTCTTGCCAGAAGTGTGGTGACATCACATTATTATTATTATTATTATTATTATAATTATGGGGAGCGCTAAACCTGCAGGATTATACAGCACCTGTGGGGGGGGGAGGTATTCAGGCTCAATTCAGGGAACTGGAGCACAGATCCAATTCCCTAGATCAAGAGCCCCTCACCAGTATCAAGGAACCTCCCTTGAAGGGAAGCTGACATCACAGTTCAGATAATCCTCCCAGCTACAATAGCCTCGCCACTCTCATTTACAATACATACTGGCAATTATATCTGCCATTTTATTGGTGTATCTCCTCACCTGTTTAGTGTTCATGCAGGATTACATTTGAAAATTTTCATTTTTTTCTTTAAAGATGACTGAGAAGAAAAACTTGTTGAGTTTTTATATAGGTTTAATAATAATAATACCTCTTTCACAGAGAGAAGTGGACTGATTTAGACAGTACACTTGCAAGTGGATGTGTCAAAAGTTGGATCTATGAAGGAGATTACAATAGATAGCACTTCTTTTTTGATTATAGTAATAATAAGCCACAAGGGCTATACAGCATTACAATAGATAGAAGGAAAAACAAAAGTGGACATTGACAAGCCTGTGGTAGCTTGTAATTATTATTATAATCAAGAGGGAATGGTAGCTTGTAAGAGCTGTAGGGAACATCCAAGAACAAAAGGGCTGAGAGGAGGTTGTGAAAGTAGTGCTGTATCTAGTGTTAAGATGTAGGAATTGGAACATCCAATAGGCACAAATGAACATGTTAGATTGAAATTAAATTGTTTTTGGGATGTCACATGCTGTTGTAGAGAATATATTTAGATTAACATGTTGTCAGAGTGAATGGGTTTTGGGGATGTGACATATTGGAGCAAATAGTTTTTGAGATGCCACATGCTATTGGAGTACGAGTACTGTGGCTGTGAAGGTATTCCCAGAGCTGTATGACCCTTATGGGTTTAGCTCTTAATTATGATCATAATCATTATTTTTATTATTATTATTATTAAGGGATTCAAGGAAGCTGGTTAACTGGATTTTGAGTTCTGTAAGTGAGAAGTATGGTGCTTGCATCATTAGCTCAGTTGAAGATGTGGTTTAGTGAAGTATTGTATCATGAAGGCTCTTCCCTTCTGAAGAAAAAAACATGGTTAAATGTTTTTTCTTTGGGTAGAAAATAGGCAGCGACTTTAAAAAAAATAATTTAAAATTTCTGACATTTAGCTCTTCCTTGAATGTTTTAACAGGAGGCTTTAGCAAGAGCCCGTCCTGACTATATACAGAGGCCAGTGACCGACGCGCCCTTATTCGCCTGAAAAAGGAAATGCGGCAAGCAGCTCAAAGCCATAATCATCAAATAATGGCTCAAATTCCTGCAAATCTTCAGACACCATCAACACTACAACGCTTTCTGTACAAGCCAGGTAGATCTAGGAATGTGTTCACGTTCTGAATGCACTTCTCAACACTTAGCCACCTCTCATGTTATATTGTACATACAGTGGAACCTCGGTTTTCGTGATTAATCCGTTCAAAAAATCTGACAAAAACTGAATCGTACAAAAACTGAAGCAATATTTCCCACAATAAATAATGTAAATCCAATTAATCCATTCCAGACTCCCAAAAATATTAACAAAAAATACACTTTATAGAGAATATCTGTAGAAGTAATGCAAGGAGGGAAGAGTATATGGAGAAAAAGAGAGAGGTTAAGAGAGTGGTGAAGCAATGTAAAAAGAGAGCAAATGAGAGAGTGGGTGAGATGTTATCAACAAATTTTGTTGAAAATAAGAAAAAGTTTTGGAGTGAGATTAACAAGTTAAGGAAGCCTAGACAAATGGATTTGTCAGTTAAAAATAGGAGAGGAGAGTTATTAAATGGAGAGTTAGAGGTATTGGGAAGATGGAGGGAATATATAGAGGAATTGTTAAATGTTGAAAAAGATAGGGAAGCTGTGATTTCGTGTATAGGGCAAGGAGGAATAACATTTTGTAGGAGTGAGGAAGAGCCAGTTGTGAGTGTGGGGAAGGTTCGTGAGGCAGTGGGTACAATGAAAGGGGGTAAGGCAGCTGGGATTGATGGGATAAAGATTGAAATGTTAAAAGCAGGTGGGGATATAGTTTTGGAGTGGTTGGTGCTATTATTTAATAAATGTATGGAAGAGGGTAGGGTACCTAGGGATTGGCAGAGAGCATGCATAGTTCCTTTGTATAAAGGCAAAGGGGACAAAAGAGAGTGCAAAAATTATAGGGGGAAAAGTCTGTTGAGTATACCTGGTAAAGTGTATGGTAGAGTTATTATTGAAAGAATTAAGAGTAAGACGGAGAATAGGATAGCAGATGAACAAGGAGGTTTTAGGAAAGGTAGGGGGTGTGTGGACCAGGCGTTTACAGTGATAAGGCTAAAGAGGTTTTTGTGGCATTTATGGATTTGAAAAAAGCGTATAACAGGGTGGATAGGGGGTCAATGTGGCAGATGTTGCAGGTGTATGGTGTAGGAGGTAGGTTACTGAAAGCAGTGAAGAGTTTTTACGAGGATAGTGAGACTCAAGTTAGAATATGTAGGAAAGAGGGAGATTATTTCCCAGTAAAAGTAGGCCTTAGACAAGGATGTGTGATGTCACCGTGGTTGTTTAATATATTTATAGATGGGGTTGTAAGAGAAGTAAATGCGAGGGTCTTGGCAAGAGGCGTGGAGTTAAGAGATAAAGAATCACACAAAGTGGGAGTTGTCACAGTTGTTCTTTGCTGATGACACTGTGCTCTTGGGAGATTCTGAAGAGAAGTTGCAGAGGTTGGTGGATGAATTTGGTAGGGTATGCAAAAGAAGAAAATTAAAAGTGAATACAGGAAAGAGTAAGGTTATGAGGATAAAAAGATTGGGTGATGAAAGATTGGATATCAGATTGGAGGGAGAGAGTATGGAGGAGGTGAATGTGTTCAGATATTTGGGAGTAGACGTGTCAGCGGATGGGTCTATGAAAGATGAGGTGAATCATAGAATTGATGAGGGGAAAACGGTGAGTGGTGCACTTAGGAGTCTGTGGAGACAAAGAACTTTGTCCTTGGAGGCAAAGAGGGGAATGTATGAGATTATAGTTTTACCAACGCTCTTATATGGGTGTGAAGCATGGGTGATGACTGTTGCAGCGAGGAGAAGGCTGGAGGCAGCGGAGATGTCATGTCTGAGGGCAATGTGTGGTGTGAATATAATGCAGAAAATTCGTAGTTTGAAAGTTAGGAGGAGGTGCGGGATTGCCAAAACTGTTGTCCAGAGGGCTGAGGAAGGGTTGTTGAGGTGGTTTTGACATGTGGAGAGAATGGAGCGAAACAGAGTGACTTCGAGTGTATCAGTCTGTAGTGGAAGGAAGGCGGGGTAGGGGTCGGCCTAGGAAAGGTCGGAGAGAGGGGGTAAAGGAGGTTTTGTGTGCTAGGGGCATGGACTTCCAGCGGGCATGCGTGAGCGTGTTTGATAGGAGTGAATGGAGACAAATGGTTTTTAATACTTGACGTGCTGTTGGAGTGTGAGCAAAGTAACATTTATGAAGGGATTCAGGGAAACTGGCAGGCCGGACTTGAGTCCTGGAGATGGAAAGTACAGTGCCTGCACTCTGAAGGAGGGGTGTTAATGTTGCAGTTTAAAAACTGTAGTGTAAAGCACCCTTCTGGCAAGACAGTGATGGAGTGAATGATGGTGAAAGTTTTTCTTTTTCGGGCCACCCTGCCTTGGTGGGAATCGGCCAGTGTGTTAAAATAAATTAATAATAAAATAACTATAGTTTTACATACAGAAAACAATGAGAAATAAACCATACCCCCGGCCGGGATTGAACCCGCGGTCATAGAGTCTCAAAACTCCAGCCCGTCACAATGAGAAATAAATATAAATGACTAATGAAATGGATAAATGAACATTTAACATCACTTTTACCTTTATTGAAGACTCTTGTTGGCGTATGGAAGACGGCAAGGAGGGGAGAGGGAGGATGAGAGGTTGTTTGGAAGGGGAATCCCCATCCACAAGGAATTCAGTTATTGAGGCCCTATCCAGGGTTACTTCCCATCTTTGTCGGACCAGCCTCTGCTGGCCTTAAATTCACTAACAGCACCACTCGTTCCAGGCATTTTCTTTGCAAGATCCGCATGCAGCTGCCTTGCCTTTTCACAAATTATCACCTCCAAAACACTCTCTCCCGCTAACTGTTTTTCGTTGATCCACACCAACAACAACTGCTCAACATCTTCGATTGTTTGCAATCTCTGCTTCGCTAGCACATTGACCCCTTTTGTAACATCAGCTTCCTTGATTTCTTTTTTCTTCACCAGGATGATACTGATCATTGATGCAGACTTCCTGTACATCCTGGCAAGATCAACCATGCATATGCCACTTTCATACTTTGCACAAGTTCTTTCTTGAATTCTATCATGTTTCTTGCCTTCTTTATCAAATGGCTGGCACTTGGAACTTTCTTTGACCCCATGGTGGCTTATTTAGGAGTCACACTCAATAAACAAGCACCAAAAACAATGGATTATTATGAAATGTTTCGGATGAACACACGGGGTGATGCTCACTCAATGAGAAACAAAGGCAGACTGAGTCATGAACTCGCCCGCGGGCAGGCGGACGAGTTTGGTACAGACCATTTTCAACTATATGAAATTTAAACGAAAAAAGTCGTTGAAAATCAAATCCTACGAAAACTAGGGCATACGAAAACCGAGGTTTGACTATACAGTAATTAAATTTTTTTTTACCATTTTATTGATTGTTAGCACTTACATAATGCATGATGTTTGTTAAACAGTGTTTCCTTTATTACTTACAATTATTTCCTTTCATACAGATATTGCACCTCTCTTCTCATACAAGGATATACGGGAACAAAACCGCCGCTTGTACCAGTTATTGCCAGAGGCCAATTTCCCAAGCTTCAGGCAGCATCTTGCTGCTCAGAATCATACCAACCGGCTCATGGGGAAACTTTATAGCCAGGTGTGAGATGGTGTTCTACAAAGTGAAGTTATTAAATATAAATATTATGAAAAGCTCTAAGTCCATCAGCAGCTCTCTATGATCATTACGTGTTTAGTGCTTTCAATAAATACAATTATCTGTGTCCATCAGGGTTACCCACTACTGTATTAAAATAAGATACAGATAAAAATGTTCACACTTGGTGCAAAATAAATCATACTATATGAAAAGTAGGATTAAATTTATATTAAAGAAGGTATATTCAAAGTTGAAAGTATAGTAGTACCAACACTCTTATATGGGTGTGAAGCTTGGGTTGTAAATGCTGCAGTGAGGAGATGGTTGGAGGCAGTGGAGATATCCTGTCTAAGGGCAATTTTTTTTTTTTTTTCAACAAGTCGGCCGTCTCCCACCGAGGCAGGGTGACCCAAAAAAGAAAGAAAATCCCCAAAAAGAAAATACTTTCATCATCATTCAACACTTTCACCACACTCACACATTATCACTGTTTTTGCAGAGGTGCTCAGAATACAACAGTTTAGAAGCATACACATATAAAGATACACAACATATCCCTCCAAACTGCCAATATCTCAAACCCCTCCTTTAAAGTGCAGGCATTGTACTTCCCATTTCCAGGACTCAAGTCCGACTATATGAAAATAACCGGTTTCCCTGAATCCCTTCACTAAATATTACCCTGCTCACACTCCAACAGATCGTCAGGTCCCAAGTACCATTCGTCTCCATTCACTCCTATCTAACACGCTCATGCACGCTTGCTGGAAGTCCAAGCCCCTTGCCTACAAAACCTCCTTTACCTCCTCTCTCCAACCCTTTCGAGGACGACCCCTACCCCGCCTTCCTTCCCCTATAGATTTATATGCTTTCTATGTCATTCTACTTTGATCCATTCTCTCTAAATGACCAAACCACCTCAACAACCCCTCTTCTGCTCTCTGACTAATACTTTTATTAACTCCACACCTTTTCCTAATTTCCACACTCCGAATTTTCTGCATAATATTTACACCACACATTGCCCTTAAACAGGACATCTCCACTGCCTCCAACCGTCTCCTCGCTGCTGCATTTACCACCCAAGCTTCACACCCATATAAGAGTGTTGGTACTACTATACTTTCATACGTTCCCTTCTTTGCCTCCATAGATAACGTTTTTTGACTCCACATATACCTCAACGCACCACTCACCTTTTTTCCCCTCATCAATTCTATGATTAACCTCATCCTTCATAAATCCATCTGCCGACACGTCAACTCCCAAGTATCTGAAAACATTCACTTCTTCCATACTCCTCCTCCCCAATTTGATATCCAATTTTTCTTTATCTAAATCATTTGATACCCTCATCACCTTACTCTTTTCTATGTTCACTTTCAACTTTCTACCTTTACACACATTCCCAAACTCATCCACTAACCTTTGCAATTTTTCTTTAGAATCTCCCATAAGCACAGTATCATCAGCAAAAAGTAACTGTGTCAATTCCCATTTTGAATTTGATTCCCCAAAATTTAATCCCACCCCTCTCCCGAACACCCTAGCATTTACTTCCTTTACAACCCCATCTATAAATATATTAAGCAACTATGGTGACATTACACATCCCTGTCTAAGACCTACTTTTACCGGGAAGTATTCTCCCTCTCTTCTACACACCCTAACCTGAGCCTCACTATCCACTATGGTCCAAGTCGGACCGAAACATCGTCGTAAGCTTCTCTCTTTTATGTGCGGGTTATTTGTGTATCTCACTATCCTCATAAAAACTCTTTACAGCATTTAATAACTTACCACCTATTCCATATACTTGCAACATCTGCCACATTGCTCCTCTGTCCACTCTATCATATGCCTTTTCTAAATCCATAAATGCAATAAAAAACTTCCCTACCTTTATCTAAATACTGTTCACATATATGCCTCAATGCAAACACTTGATCTACACATCCCCTACCCACTCTGGAACCTCCTTGCTCATCTGCAATCCTACATTCTGTCTTACCTCTAATTCTTTCAATTATAACCATACCGTACACTTTTCCTGGTATACTCAGTAAACTTATTCCTCTATAATTTTTACAGTCTCTCTTGTCCTCTTTCCCTTTATATAAAGGCACTATACATGCTCTCTGCCAATCCCTGGGTACCTTCCCCTCTTTCATACATTTATTAAACAAAAGTACCAACCACTACAACACTATATTCCCCCCTGCTTTTAACATTTCTGTCATGATCCCATCAGTTCCAGCTGCTTTACCCCCTTTCATTCTACGTAATGCCTCACGTACCTCCCCCACACTTACATTCTGCTCTTCTTCACTCCTAAAAGATGGTATACCTCCCTGACCAGTGCATGAAATTACTGCCTCTCTTTCTTCCTTAACATTTAAAAGTTCCTCAAAATATTCTCGCCATCTACCTAATACCTCCATCTCCCCATCTACTAACTCCCCTACTCTGTTTTTAACTGACAAATCCATACTTTCCCTAGGCTTTCTTAACTTGTTTAACTCCAAAATTTTTTCTTATTTTCATTAAAATTTCTTGACAGTGCCTCTCCCACTCTATCATCTGTGCTCCTTTTGCACTCTCTCACCACTCTCTTTACCTTTCTTTTACTCTCCATATACTCTGCTCTTCTTATAACACTTCTGCTTTGTAAAAACCTCTCATAAGCTACCTTTTTCTCTTTTTATCACACCCTTTACTTCATCATTCCACCAATCACTCATCTTTCCTCCTGCCCCCACCCTCCTATAACCACAAACTTCTGCCCCACATTCTAATACTGCATTTTTAAAACTATTCCAACCCTCTTCAACCCCCCCACTACTCATCTTTGCACTAGCCCACCTTTCTGCCAATAGTCGCTTATATCTCACCCGAACTTCCTCCTCCCTTAGTTTATACACTTTCACTTCCCTCTTACTTGTTGTTGCCACCTTCCTCTTTTCCCATCTACCTCTTACTCTAACTGTAGCTACAACTAAATAATGATCCGATATATCAGTTGCCCCTCTATAAACATGTACATCCTGGAGCCTACCCATCAACCTTTTATCCACCAATACATAATCTAATAAACTACTTTCATTACGTGCTACATCATACCTTGTATATTTATTTATCCTCTTTTTCATAAAATATGTATTACTTATTACCAAATTTCTTTCTACACATAGCTCAATTAAAGGCTCCTCATTTACATTTACCCCTGGCACCCCAAATTTACCTACTACTCCCTCCATAACATTTTTACCCACTTTAGCATTGAAATCCCCAACCACCATTACTCTCACACTTGATTCAAAACTCCCCACACATTCACTCAACATTTCCCAAAATCTCTCTCTCCTCTACACTTCTCTCTTCTCCAGGTGCATACACGCTTATTTTACTCCACATAATCCTTGAATTAATACATTTATAGTCCCTCTTTTTCCTGCCATAGCTTATCCTTCAACATTATTGCTACCCCTTCTTTAGCTCTAACTCTGTTTGAAACCCCTGACCTAATCCCATTTATTCCTCTCCATTGAAACTCTCCCACCCCCTTCAGCTTTGTTTCACTTAAAGCCAGGACATCCAGCTTCTTCTCATTCATAACATCCACTATCATCTCTTTCTTATCATTTGCACAACATCCATGCACATTCAGACTTCCCACTTTGACAATTTTCTTCTTCTTATTCTTTTTAGTAATCTTTACAGGAAAAGGGGTTACTAGCCCATTGTTCCCGGCATTTTAGTTGACTTTTACAACACGCATGGCTTACGGAGGAAAGATTCTTATTCCACTTCCCCATGGATATAAAAGGAAAAGTAATAAGACCAAGAACTATTAAGATAAAATCAAAGAAAACTCAGATGAGTGTGTATAAATAAATGTGTACATGTATGTGTAGTGTGACCTAAGTGTAAGTAGAAGTAGCAAGACATACCTGTAATCTTGCATATTTATGAGACAGACAAAAGACATCAGCAATCCTACCATCATGTAAAACAATTACAGGCTTTCGTTGTACGCTCACTTGGCAGGACGGTAGTACCTCCCTGAGTGGTGTAAATATTGGTGTAAATATTATGCAGAAAATTCAGAGTGTGGAAATTAGGAGAAGGTGTGGGGTTAATAAAAGTATTAGTCAGAGGGCTGAAGAGGGGTTGTCAAGGTGGTTTGGTCATTTAGAGAGAATGGATCAAAGAATGACATGGAGAGCGTATAAATCTGTGGGGGAAGGAAGGCTGGGTAGGGGTCATCCTCGAAAAGGTTGGAGGGAGGGGGTAAAGGAGGTTTTGTGGGCGAGGGTTTGGACTTCCAGCAAGTGTGCGTGAGCATGTTAGATAGGAGTGAATGGAGACGAATGGTTTTTGGGACCTGGCGAGCTGTTGGAGTGTGAGCAGGGTAATATTTAGTGAAAGGATTCAGGGAAACCATTTATTTTTATATGGCCAGACTTGAGTCCTGGAAATAAGAAGTACAATGCCTGCACTTTAAAGGAGGGGTTTGGGACATTGGCAGTTTGGAGGGATATGTTATATATCTTTATATATGCTTCTAAACTGTTGTATCTGGGTGCCTCTGCAAAAACAGTGATTATGTATGAGAGGTGAAAGTGCTGAATGATGATGAAAGTGTTTTCTTTTTGGGTTTTTTCTCTCTTTTTGGGTCACCCTGTCTCGGTGGGAGACTGCTGACTTGTTGAGAATGGATGAGGGAATATTACAGTTGATCACATGGACTGTGTTGTCTTGTGCATTGCTGGAGACACAGCTGGAGAATCTATGATAATGAATGTGTTGTCCTCTTTGGGAGTGGCTGATGTACTGAAAACAATTGAAGAATAATAGGACCACTATCCACATGTAGCTTTCATTGCTGTGATACTTTTCTAATTTAGGCCTGGTCAGAGATGGCTGCAGGGGCAATGATCCATAAATAATTAACAGGTAACAAGGGAATAAGAGTTTTTAGTGTAATTATGGTTGCAGTGGGAGAAGTTTGTTGCAGAAGGTAGATTCAAGATAATAAAAAATAAAGCAAAATGAGGCAATGGGAAGATTGCAAGACTAGGTCTAGAGGTTGTAACTTCCAATGCTGAAGTCGGGAGTTAAGGATCATCCTCTGCTCTTATCAAATTGCAGGGGTGTGTGAGGGTACTTTAACCATCAGTGTCTTCAGCACTACTTTAAAGCTTTAAAAAAATTTAAATATAAATTCATTATTTTTTTTTTTAACAAGTCGGCTGTCTCCTACCGAGGCAGAGTGACCCAAACAGAAAGAAAATCCCCAAAAAGAAAATACTTTCATCATTCAACACTTTCACCTCACTCATACATAATCACTGTTTTTGCAGAGGTGTCCAGAATACAACAGTTTAGAAGCATATACGTACAGTGGAACCTCAAAAATCGAACGTATCACATATCGAACGTTTCGAAATTAGGACCATTTTCTCCAGACAAACTGTGTTCCTATTTTCGGACCGCCGGGTACGGGACCTGTCTGCTGCCCGCTCTGTCCGCGTCGGCGCCGTGAGCAGTCTAGCTTTGTTTATGCTTGAGTGAACACTAACCTGCGCTCTCATTCACGCATTTTACGATTATTTCGTTGTGTTTAGTGCTTGTGGGACTGTGAAATAAGCTGCCATGGGCCCAAAGAAACTTGCTAGTGGTACCCCTGTGGTAAAGAAAGTGAGAAACACCATAGATGTGAAGAAGGAAATAATACAGAAGGATGAGAGTGGTGCGAGACTTGTTGAGCTTGCCAGAATGTATGGGAAAAACAAGTCGACCATCGGTTCTATCCTGTCAAAGAAAGAACAAATCAAGGAAGCTGATGTTGCGAAAGGTGTTAATATAGGGAGTGGATGAGGTGCCTTCTTCAAAGATTAAGGAGATTTGTGCCAAGTAGAAAGATGTCCAAATGTTTGTGCAGAAGTACCACCCAGAGCAAGCTGAAACAAGCCATCTTTGCAACAAGTTCAGTGACAGAACCATGTCCCATTTTAGGGGAATGTTAAAGAGGCGCCAGAAACAGAGGACTGTGGACAGTCATTTTGTGAGACGGGGTCCAGTGACTCAAGCTGGTCCTAGTGGCATTAAAAGACAGAGAAGGGAAGTAACCCCAGAGAGGGCTTTACCTGAAGTCCTCATGGAGGGGGATTCTCCTTCCAAACACTAACCCCAACTCCCTCTCTCCTCCTCCCTATCTTCCAGATGCCATCACCAATCTTCAATAAAGGTAAGTAAAAATGCTATTTTATATGTATTACTATACATAATTAAAAACTATAGTATTTGTTGTATGTAAAACTGTAATTAATCTCTATAAAATGTATTTTTTGTGTGAATATTTTTGGGTTTCTGGAACGGATTAATTGTATTTCCATTATTTCTTATGGGAGATACTGCTTCGAATTTCAGACTTTTCGAATTTAGAAATAGCTCCTGGAACAGATTAAGTTCGATTTTTGAGGTTCCACTGTACATATGCTATATAATAAAATTTTAATGAATAAGCTCTTGAATTGTTAAAAATTTACATAATGCATTTTTTTTTTCAGAAATTGAGGAAGAAAGTAGTAAAGGGTCAAGTGTCCCATGCACATAAGGATGTTGTGACACCGCTTGCATCTCGGACAAAATACTGAAGCAAAGTTCTACTAGAAATTCTCTGCAGTGTATCTTGAAAATTTCACACAGTCATGCACCTCGAGTACAATAAATATCCATTGTGTAACAATATAATTTCTTCCATTATGTCTTCTGTGGCAGCACACCAGATTGATGTCAGAGATTGGTATATTATACATCAGGATTGGCAAGTGTGGTACAGTATTATCCAAAGATTTTTAATTTGCAAGCACTAAACTTAGGGATCATATGCTACCTGGAGACAAGGTCAAGCAAGGGGATGATAAATCCATGTCCACAGATCAAGCCTCTTGCAAGGATGAATGGACCTCCAAAGATGAAGGGTGATGAAGGTATACATGGATAACCTCAAGAGCACTAAAGAGATATAGGTACCTTGATGCTAGCAAAGGCTTCATCTAGGGAATTGAGCGATTTTCCTTTTGCCTTCTATTGAACCTAGTTGCTGCCCATTTTCCCCAGACACCGATACCTGTGTTTAGTACTCCCCCTTGAATTTATTAATATTGCCTATTAGGTACATTCATTGAAATGAGGGAATGCAATAAATAGATATTAAATTTTTATTTTGTATTTGTCACAGTGGTCATATAAAAGGTATTTTACAGTAGTGTTTTACACTGGCTTTTTTTTTTTTACCAATACCCATGTTTGAAATAAGCTGCATTTTTTAATTAACACATTGGCTGATTCCCACCTAGGCTGGGTGGCCCGAAAAAGAAAAACTTTCATCATTCACTCCATCACTGTCTTGCCAGAGGGGTGCTTTACACTACAGTTTATAAAAGTGCAACATTAGCACCCCTCCTTCAGAGTGCAGACACTGTACTTCCCATCTCCAGGACTCAAGTCCGACCTGCTGGTTTCCTTGAATCCCTTCATGAATGTTACTTTGCTCACACTCCAATAGCACGTCAAGTATTAAAAACCATTTGGCTCCAATACTATCAAATATGCTCACGCATGCTTGCTGGAAGCTCAAGCCCCTCACACACAACTACCTTAAATCACTACCCACATTTCATAGTAATAAAGTAGATAAAGCTCTTTGTCAATACCTTAGCCATATTGACTGGGTTTTCTCACCAGGGTGGTGGGGCTATTATCAAGTGCTGCACTCGTTGTGCTCTTAGTTTCCACTCGCATGGAATCTAGAGCCTGCCCCCCCTTCCCTGCAGTTCTTCCATGGGCAACATGCTACAGCAAGTGGATAGGGGTAAAACAAAAAAAAATTATGGGCTATGCTTAATCTTCTGGTTTTGCTAGGAATGGTTTTTGTTTTGTAAATGGAGAGGCAGCCTAAACCTGTCAAGGATTCATATAGCACCTGAGAAATAGCATTTAAAACTCAATCCAGAAAGGGAAATTATTAATTATTATTTTATTATTATTTATTATCAAAAAGAAGCGCTAAGCCACAAGGACTATACAGTGCTGCAGGGGGCAGGAAGGAAGCTGAGGGGCATCAGTCGGCCTAAAAGGGAGATGGATGAGTAATAGGTTACGGATGTCAGGGAGGTAGTGGTTGGTTGAAAGGGTAAAGGGCAGCAGCAAGGAGGACTTGAACTAGAAATAGGGCTGAGGGGAGTGCAAAAAGTATCATCAGAGTTTGTGGAGTAAATCAGGTGTTGTCAAGAAGTCAATGAGAGAGTCAGGATTAAAGGAGGGTCCATCAGCAAGAAAGGAAGGTAAAGTGAGAGTAGTAGAATGAAGACGACGTTGGTTGGAGGTACAATTCTGCGTGCTCGTTGATAGAGAGGGCAGTCTAACAGAATGTGGCTAATCGATACTGGTACTTGACACTGCTCACAGTGAGGAACAGGGTGGCCTCTCAATGAGATACCCATGAGCAAGAAGAGTGTGGCCAAATGCGAAGGCAGGACGAGAGTGGTGTCTCCAACCTCGGCACTGATGGACATGAAGACGGCCAGTAACCTATGCTCGGTTTAATAGAAATTGAGTTTGTTACCGAGCAGAGTTGACCCAACACGTTGTTGCAACGGGTGTGAGTTGGGTAGCTATTGCGCAAAATAGTCCCAGAAAATGGGAAATTCTCGATAGGAAATTGCTTAGGTCAATGTACTGCCTGACCCGCCGCAGCAGTGTCTGCCTGTTCATTGACCCCTTTAGTAGACTTTGGACCAGGGACCCAACAAAAAACAATATGTTTGGTAGAGAATACGGCGAGCCAAAGTTGGGATACGGAGAACTAGGGGATGAGAGTATCAAATTTTCGTTTATGCCTGTAGAGCACTAAGGTGAGGTCACTGAGACTACTTACAAATGATGACCACAAGCATAGATGCGCTACGACATAAGTGCTGCAAGTATGGCATACAGTTCTGCAGTAAAAATTGCTAGCGAAGATAGTAAATGCCCCGCACGATGCTGTCGGAAAACACGCTGCGAATCCGATGCGTCTGAAGACTTAGTAGCCATCTGTGTACACAGCGGTGGCATGAGATGGGAGTGGGAAGTGATCAAGAAAAAGAGCGGGAAGCCACGTAGACTGTTGAGCTTTCGAGCAAGGGAGTGAGAAAGAACAGACCGCCGCAACAGCTGTACTTCCCAGTGGGGTTGTAGGGGAAAAAGGTGAGATGCTACATGAACATATAAAGATGGTATACAGAAGGGAGAAAAGGGTGAATGTAGGCGAAGAGAAAAGGGACGGTAGCAAACAGGGCGGCGAGCGAATAAAGAATGTCTACTAATATCAGTGACACATTCTATAAATGGAAGGATTGTGTGGATCGTGAGAGCGTTACTAGTAGCGAAGGCAATGGTGCATAACGGTGATAGACAAGGATGCGAACATTCTCTTCTGTATAGAGGCTCCAACTGGGAAGACCGCGAAAAGCACCAAGGACAAACGTAATCCTTGGTGTTGGATAGAGTTAAGGCTAGAGAGAGTAGCAGGAGAGGCGCCGCGGAATATAAATCTGGTCACCCATAATCAAGTTTCGATAAAAAGGGGTGCAAGTAGGCGAAGAGAGTTTCAACGATAGCTACCCAGGAAAGTGAGAAGGGTTATAAGAAGGTTTTGGCCGGCTGTGAAAAAGTTGCCTTCAGAGAGGTAATGTGAGTTTCAGGATAACCTCACGGTCAAATGAGAAGCCTAGGAAACCTGACTATACGTTCGGGGATACTGGAGCCACAGAGATACAAAGGATGATCGGAGATAAAAGGAGCGTTCTGGTGAAGTAATTTGGTGAGTTTTGGTACTTGAAAATTTAAACCATGCGTGGTTGGCCCAAGTGGAAACACTGTCGACCGCATGCTGGAGAGAAACTGCATGACAGTCAGCGCAGCACAAGCAATAGCGAGTCAATCACATAGAGTGATGACCAAAATATTGGGTGGAAGAACTGAGGACCCAAATCATTTATAGCAAGGAGGGAAAAAGTGTTGTGCTTTGTAGAACACTTCCCTGAGGGACACCTTCAGTTGGACGTAGTACGGGGAAAGAACATTTATTGACTCGAACATAGGGAAAATGTCTGTCAGTAAAAAAGTTCTGAAGGAAGGATGGTAGATTGCCTCGGAGGCCTAAGGAATGGGCCTGGGCCAAAATATTATACCTCCAAGTTGTGTCATATGCCTTCTCAAGGTCATAAAATATAGCAAATAACTGAGTGATTATTCGCAAAGGCATTTACAAACATACGTATCCAGGCGTAGTTAGGGTCTATGGTTAGAACGACCCTTACTCGAAAGCCATATTGACTAGCGGAAAGGTGACTGTTGTGTGTGCTTAATTTACCACATTAAAACGTCGATTTACGAGAGTTCATCACTTTGCAAACTGCATTGTAAGTGTGAATGGGCGATAGTGGGAGGGGGCCTCGTGTCTTGTCGTACCGGTTTGCGGAAAAAGTGAGACAATGGCAGATTTCCACAGCTGGGGGAAGAACTTGTGCCCAAATAAGATTGGATGAGGTGTAAGAGGATACATGGGCCTGACCGATATGTAAAATGTTGTTGTAACATACGAAAATGAATGTCGTCAGGACCCAGCTAGCCGATGATCGGCTCATGCTGAGAGCTGTTGCCTCCAGTTCTTGAAGTGTTAAAAAGGCTCATTATACTGTTCTTCTCTGAGAGAAGAAAAGTCCAAGGGTACTAACTCTCTGGCAGACTTTGAGGAAAGAACAAGGGGCATAGATGGAGCCCTCGGGAAAATACGGACCAGATGTGTGCCAAGTTCAATGGCCAACGTCGAGAGGGTTTGCTAATAATCACCAGCGACCGTTAGAACAGGAGGAGCCGGGTCAGGAGAGTTATTTACCACTCAATTTCCTACTTTTTTCCAGACTGCATCATAGAAGAAGCAGAGGTGATGTAGAAACAGTACTCGCCAACAAGTGAGTTTAGCTTCACGGATGACACGGGAGCAATCGCATGTTCTAGCTTAGAAATCAGAGTCTCTCAGCGGTTCTATTGTACGGTACATGCCCCATGCAGCACGTTTCAAACGTACTGCACGAGCACAAGCGTTGGAGACCACCAAGGGCATGCACTTCTGAGAATGCTGCTGAGGTTTGGGAGTATAGAATGAGAAGCTGCGGTATAAACTGACGATCGAGAAGATGTGTAGGAGCTCATCAATGGAGGATGAAAGAAGGAACCTCCTAAAGCACGTGAGGAGTGAGTAAAGATTACCAATTGCCCGATCAAATTGCCAAGAGAGGGCTACGGAAGAAAGGTGGTGAATAGAGAAGAGTAGTAAGAATGATCGAAAATGAACGCTGTCATGCAAGTCTGTAGACAGACCAGGTGAAGTCTAGTGCAGTGGAGGAAGAGCAGACTGATAGATCGATTGCAAGAGAGAGTATGAGTACAAGATCAAAATGGGTGGGAAGTACCGTTATTTAAAACATGGAGGGGGCGAGAGCGAGACAAGCCTCCAAATGGATTGCCACGTGAGCTTCACTCACAAATGGAGACCCCCCCCCCCAGAGGAAATGGTGGGCACTAAAATCACAAAGTCAACACGAAGTGGGGGTTGGTATAGGATGAAAACAAGAAAGGCAAGTCTGGGATAGAAAATGCTAGAGATAGGAGAGAGTATAAAGAACATTGTAAACCACTTAATCAAGAGGATACGGGCTGCAGTGTAATGCAGCGAGGGTATGGACAAAATAGTCGACAGTACGGAATATCATTGGTAGAAGGGCACTTTCGCGTAAAGGTCCCATCTGGAGAAAGATCCAAGATACAATAATTATTAGCCTTGAGATAGGTGAAAACAGCCGAGTGTAAATTTTGGTTCTTGTAAGCAGCTCCAACAGGGAAAACCTGGAAAGCATAACATCTGAAGATCACCCCGATTACCGAGGCTGCGGATATTCCACTGTAAATAGACCATGAATTGGAATTGAGAAAATACCAGGAATCTGTAGGTAAAGTCATTACGGACTTAGAGGGGTTAGTAAAAGTTCAACGTGTGGTGGCTTGGAAGACGTTCAAGTAGCGATGGAACGGAGAGTTGCGAAGAATGGGGTTGTGAAGATGGAGAAGAGGGAAGAGACGGAACAGGAAGTGAATCCAGTGTCCATTGTAAGGTTTAGTCTCTGCAGTATATTCTGAAATGGCTTAAGTGTTTCTGAATTCAAAAGATG